ATATATATATATATATATATATATATATATATATATATATATATATATAAATTAATCGCGTGATAACACAACGATAGATAGAGAGATAGAGAAAGAGAAAAGGGATGTATGTTACAATAAAAAGGAACTTAACAGATTGCGCTAAAAAAATACAATATATGAAACAATTGTATACATATAAAATCTTTAAATAATCTACGCGACACGGTAAATCGTACTCGAAGGATTTTTGTCGGGTCTACTCGCGGTTTCCGGTAGCACGTCTCCGCGACACGAATTACACCGGTAATTCGGGAGAGTGTGTTTATATATAATGTATATTATGTATACATATATAGAGACAGAGAGATGTATGCGGGTGTCAAAGCTCGTGTGTGTTCTCTCGCGTGTGTCGTCTGTGTACCCGCTCGGCCCCGCGATTCCGCGAGAATGCGGCTGGCCGAGAATGCTTCGTATTCGGATTCATTTAGGGTGCTTTTACCGCTGTCGGAATAATCATTGAACATTAATCGTCGTCCTTGACGCGACGCGAGGGTCAAGGACGGAAGGATGTCTCGCGGGAATCGTTTATAAATCGACTTCCGTCTTCGTCTTTTTCTTCTGCTTCTTCCCTTCTATCGATAGCCTTTTAGACAATGTACAATTCATTGGATCGCGAACTAAAAGGATAAAAGAAAGTACCGTGACGCTCTCCTCGTCCTACGTGAAACGTTTCGAATGGCTGATTCAATCCCAGTCGTTAAAAGTAAAAGCGTTGTGGAATGCTTGAACGGAATCCGCTTCGAATGCGGCTCTTTTCATTTTTTGTGTATCGACGATTGTTCTTTTCTTCTCTTCGTCTTTGTTATTCTCTGCTTCTTCTTCTTCTTCTTGGTTTTTTGTGATTTTTTTTTGTTGCTGTCGTTTCGATTCTCTTTTTCCGTCTTTTTCCTCTAACTCTACTGAAATGCAAAGTAGACATACTAAATGCTTCTTTTTTTCGTTCGGCATGATCCTCCCCGGCCACGCGGCTGTTCCTTCTCGCGCTCGGTGCTCTCGGCCGTGTGTCTCCCATGCGCTTTTCTTTTGTGTGATACACATTAAATGACCTAATATCTCAAGTAATAGTTAGAAGTTATTAGTTAATCCATTAGCTGCCCTAACGTCTAAGGGACTGAAACACTGCTGCTACACATATCATAGGCATGTAGCAATTTTTTTTTCTTTAGGATTATTTTAGTGGCTTATAGTAGAACGAAGTTACGGTGAAGCGGGTGTGATCCGGGTATTTTTTTGCTTTTTACTTGCCCCGTGGTGAGGACCGTGTGCCTGTTGTTGAGAGACCTTCGCCCCGGCTCCGAGTTCGGTGCAAGGAATGTAGACCCTCGCCTGAAACATTCGACCAACATTCAACATAATTTTTTTCCTCTTAAAACATTACTTGATTATCTGATAGAGTTTCTCAAAAATCGAAAATTCACAATTACAGATTCTTAGATGAACTTTTTAACAGCTGTAGCAAGATTAGATCTTCAGACTACTTTTTGACATGGTACAGTTATTGAGAGTGCTATTGATAGCCTTCTAATCATTTCATGTTCTATTACTGAGCATTACCATCTTATTTAACTTATATTATTGCGGTAAGTATTTTAGTCTGAATTTAATTGTTCTCACCTCTGCTAACGCTTCTGCGCATCGGTGCAGACTGAGGAAGGGTGAAAGTGTAGTTCCTAAGTGCTCTGCCTCGTTTGTCTTGAATTAGTTTGTCCACTTTGACGAAAATTCCGCACTTCTGTCGACACGTGAAGTACCTTTGCCCGTTCACAGCACCATCGTTTTTACCTGCAACACGAACAGCACATTTTCACTCGCCGGATATACTTTTGCTGTTATCTCATCATTTTTATAAAACATCTTAGAAATGTCGGTGTTAAACAGATCTGTTGACAATATTGATACAAATTAATTGTGCGAGGTGAAATTGTTAAATAGTCATAAGTAGATGCAACGAAGTAATTTCTAAGTATACATATAGTAATATGTAGTTCATAAGTATACAGGCAGTACATATATGTATAGCCTTACCAGTCGGTGCGTCCAATTCGACGCCTATCCACGAGCCAGAAGCAAACTCTGTCGGGCCGACGTACGCTATGACGCCAGAATAGCTGTATGGACGAACCAAGACCGACTCGCCAACCACTACCCAATCTGGCAGTGGCGTCTCGACTCGGCTTAAGTCGTGTCTCGACCCGAAGGCTGAACTTTTGTCGCTCACATCATCTGCAAACGGGAGAAATATAAATGTAGCAATTAGATGAAAACAATAGAACAATATAGAAGACTTAAAAACTATTTCAGAGTTTCTATGCTAGAATAATAAGCCTACCGTCGATTCGTTCAGAGGAGCTATTGTCACCGTTCTCGTAGGGCATGTTGGGTTGCATTGATTGTTCCAGTCGCGCTGCAGCTTTGCTCTCCGAGAGCTGTGGACGGACCATGGGGAATGAAGCCCTGTGCTGAGAACTGGTAGGCCTTCCTGTAGTCGCAGACGCTTTTCTTCGACGCACCACCTGGTCGAAAACCATAATTTATAATAATTAATCTCCATTTTCTGCGACAGACCGATGATCATTGAAACAGTTATGCTACCTTGCCCGGCGGTAGTTTCGTATGGACAACCGAGTTGCCCTCGAAAGGACTGTCCTCCCCCGAATTCGACGTCTGACTGATCTCCATGTCGCTTTTTCTACGGTTGCTCAGAACCTGGTTGGTCGTGTCCTTCTTCTGAACGTTGTTCGAGTGCACTATGCTACTGTTCGCGTCGCTGTCGCTCTTCGTCGAGGAGACTGGACTGTCTATGTCCGGATCCACATAAGCACCAGTTTCCTCTAAATCCTTCCTGATGCGGTCTGGATCACCATAAGAACAATATCGATCGTTAAACAGTGGATCTTATGGAAATAAATATAACAGTACATCTAGAGATTTAGAATGAACCGCGAGCGGAATGAACCAAAGAATTGTCGTAGTTTATTTCCTGAAGATCAATTATAATTTACACTGATTTCATTTGAACTGACCCTTGTTGCAGCTGTTACCTAGCATGTCCAGGTGGCCCAACGCCGCGGACACCTCGCCCATGTACTCCTCAGGTGTTTCCTCGACCAGAGAGCTGTCCATTCGCTCCGGCTTTTTCGCGTCTAGCAGATTTCGATACTCGAGGTCCGGGGTCTCGTCCACGCTGATCGACTTCACCGACAACGAGTCCTCGGAGGTCAGATTGGTCGTCGACACGGCTTGGGAACCGTAACCACTGCTGCTCATGCTTGGCGTGTTGATCTTCGTCGATTGAAGTTCGACGAGAGAATCCAGTGTGCGTGAAGAAGTTAGTGGTTTTACTGGTTTCGCCGTTGCCTGAACGTAATCGTGTGTGATATGCTTTTCAGTATTGTCTGATCAAAAGAGTCGCGCTCCGCTTATTCGAACATGGCGCTTTAGAGTGACTAGGTGCGCAACGATTCCTGAGATTAAATTGTACTAATCGCTTCTGCGAGTATTCTTAGGATCGGACGTGTCCAACACTACGGTAAAGTATTGTTTATCTGGCAATGTTTTATTCCAACGTAAATGTAGGTCTATTCCTCTGTTAATCAGTTTTGAAGGCAATATAAAAGCTGGCTAAAATCATTTATTGCTGAAAATTTTAAAAATAGCGCCGCTTGTACGCCAAGTCAGGTAGTGGCAAGACACTCAAACTGTTCGCTAAAATTATTCACAAATGATAATTTTTAGGATTTACTATTTTGACACAGGTGGCGTCACTGGCATAAACCCACAGGCGACGAAATGCTGAAACTGCTGCACAAATTATCAACAACCGATTTTGTTTAATAGTTTGAGCGTTTTGCCACCACGTAGTAGTGGCGCTATTTTTATATTTTCCGGAGCAGATGAATCGTGCCGAATTTTACATCGTATCTTATGACGAAAGCGGCAAAAATCATCTGTCTTGGTTATTTGCAATAACAAATAAACTTTTTTTTGCACGATATAGATACAGCAGATTCATCTGAATAATTCTGTAGCCACAAAATATGCTTATAGCCCCTTAATTACCACATGTTAGTCGAAGTTATAATAAAGCGGAAAATGTAGTCCAATTATCCGGCAATGGACAAATAACATTTTTATTGCGATATTAGAAACAGGTCGTGTGGACACGTCCTTGAGACTCGACAGAAGAAATTAGCTCGATATCACTCTAACAAGGAAGCACCCGAATGAATCTCAAAAATAACAATTTTAGAAACTACTCTTCTATCAAATCACGCCAAAATAGTTCACTTTAGAGAATTTATTACAAAAAAACTAAAAGATATAGAACTAAGAAGCTTTTTGCAATACGTTCCTACATATGATTCGGTATCCTAGAAAAATTCTCGTTGTAACCTACGCTTAACGATACTCACTGTAGATAATGTTAAAGGAATACATTGCAAAAAGGTGCTCAGCTGCGTATTATTAAGTCGCCCTGTAACAAACTCTTAAAAATGACCTAATTCTTGTAGAATTTGATAAGCAAGCGTGTAATAGAAATATGTTCTTCGAAACAATGATGAACGATTTAACCATCTGAAAAAAGATATCTCTAAAAATCGTCTGGAAAGGATTAGACTTTCTCTAGGCAGTGATGACGGAGATACTCGGGTACTTTGTGTTCGAGTAATCACAGTTCGGTGTTCACAGTGGGAGTTGAGGGTGTAGAACGTGTACTACCTGGTAGGAATCGTACTCGGAGTAGTCGGCGTCGCTTTTCTCCTCTTCTTCGTCATTGACTGGCGATGGCAGCTGGTTCCCCATGATCGACGTTTCCTCGTGCAACGTGGTCATCCGCAGACCCAGCTTAGAACCCACCATGTTTGGAGATGCTAAAATAAACAACGTTCGATCAGCGAAACGACCGTGGATTACACACGAAATTCCAGAAGTGTGATTGCGTTCGAATATCAGGGCCGATCTGGCCACATTTCAGTAACGCGACTCTTCCAGTTCGGTCCCGTTTTGTTTGGTTCTTTTATCGATTCAGCTTATCACGATTCCTTCGTTTTCTAGTCACGATCGTTGCTTCTCTCTGCGTGGGTTTTTTTTCGACATACATTCTACGTAACCGGGTCGATGAGAACACTAAAGGTGCCAGGTCGGTTCTGATACAGATTTGTGATTACAAAATATCGAACAAAGGACCCATGCTGTTCCTAAAAAAAAAAGAAACAAAAACGGAGAAGAATATATATATATATGTATATATTCCACGTATCCGACTGTTTTTCCCCTATCGAATGGATCGCCCAAACGAGATGAAGGTGATTCCATAGAGAAAAACCAATGGAACGTTTAGGACGGAGATTTTTCCTTCGGACCTCGGCTTTCGAGAAATTTAACAAATCATACTTAATTACAGATGTATTGCAATAATGATGTTACTTAAATCTGTTACTAGTTTATTCGATTATGTATCGTTTTTTTAAACAATTTTCTGTGAACTTATTAGAGCAAACGTTCGCAAGCTACACAATGTATTCTTCAACACTTGATAAATGAGATTTCTTTATACTTATTGAATGGATCAATCTGTAGAAAATTAGTACGGAGCTAATCTTCATACATACATACTAACAACACCGATTAACAATTTTGTATTTCTATACAGTGCTTGCTACTATAAAATAGTAATTTTCAACCTGTTCATATTTTACTGTACTATAAACTCAAGTTTTCAAAAGTGTAATTAACAACGCATCTAAAATATTATTCTCCGTGTCTCGGTGAAATGAAACACTCGAGTACCCTAACACCGACTGTCTGACCATCGCAGGCAGATTCCACTTGCCCGACTTCCGAAGCTCCGCGTTGGCAAATTGCAAGCATAACTTTCCCAAGAACGAAGCTCCGAAGGAAAGAACTTCGTCCCACACTTTCGATTAGTTTTTTCACTTAAAATCATCTCCTCTAATTCACCGGCGGACATGGGACACCCGGTAACGTTAATCCGAGGTACCTTCACTCGCGCAGTTCAGTGGATCCCTTTCCAAGACACTCGTCGACTATATTTCACATGGTTCCGTGTCTGTCAACCCTTAAGTGGTCAGGCGATTCAATTCGCAAGAAATAGCGGCGTATCTCGAATGAAAAACTATTCACAGAATAACACCGTGGACACCAGACCACTCAATGATCGAGGTTCAGTGTAGATAAAGGTATCGTTTAATTCGGTATGCGAGCGAGTGTTGCAATATATAGTGTCAGGGTATCAGAAGAGGAAGCGCATACGTGGAATATAAGGCAGCCTCAAGTAAAACATAAAAACAGAGCCGTAGTAGGTACCAATTATTGTAAGCGATAGAACATCGAACACATACGGAGCTACGCGCTGCGCGTTTCGCGCAGCGTGGCTGCGATTCCAATTAACAGAGAGAGAAAGAGAGATAGAGAGACAGAGATAGAGACAGTAAACGAAAAAGAAAACACAGTAAATCAAAAAGTAGTAAACTACGAATCTCTCGGTAACCAAACGAAAAAGAATAGTTACGAAAACATATGTATTACGGTTCGAACACAGTGTCTATACCTATACACTACGTAAAATGGTCGAACTAAGGAGTAAGGAAACCAAAGATTCTACTAATCACTACGAGAATGATCGTATGGACTCTTTCAAACTCCGTTTAAAATCCATCCCTCGCAATTCCGCCAATTTCTCAGCATACTTCGCAAGTGCCCTTCTCTCCGTTGAGCATTACAGCGTTTTAGTTGCTCTCGCGATTTCTAATTCGTTTCATCGCGATTTCTTCATTTATTTTTACTTTATTCTCAGCAGAACGATGTTTCTTTTCTTTCAGAAAATTTTAATACTCCGTTTCAATCTTCCACGAGTTCGCAAACGTCTTTCTTCGTTAAGCGTCAACGTTTCAGTCGCATTTGTAATTCACGTTTGACCGCGTCGTTTTCGACGGGACGAATTTTTCAGTGGAAGAACGGTGACTTCGAATTCTCCGTTCGAATCCTCGACGAAATCGCAAATGTCGTTCTCCTCGTTCCGCTTTCGCGGAAGTACGCGTTAAATTCTCAACGAAGAAAATTTGGCGAATCGGCACTTGCGCCAACGAAAAGCAATAGTAGTGGACAGACGGAAATTTCTGCGAAAGATTCGATGGAGTCGGTTTGAAAGATCGTCCACACGGCGAGTGTCACCTACACTTGGCAGAGGTGGATTGTTGCAGACGTGTCAATGAGTTGAGATTCAGGTTCAGATTCAGGAAAGTTGGTCTCGCTGAAAGGAGATACAGACGTACTGATTACACGGCACTCTCGTTAAAGAGTCTGGTCGTTCGACTAAAAAAAAAATATATATATTTGTATATATATATATATGTATGTATGTGAACACACTACGTTCTCCTCTCCTCTGAATGGCGAGCCATTGTTAGAGCTTGTCTTTCGCAACAGGCGTTTGAACACAGTCATTGAAATCATGCCTGAAAACACCGGACAGTGAGAGAAAAACCAGTCAACACGAGGTATACAGATCTCCCGGTGGCGCCCGACGATCATCGACGGAAACAATCCAATTAATCCATCAAAGAGTACACAGTCACGTCGAACAATGTACAAGACCGCGATGGGTCAACGAGATAAATGGCGTTGTTCGATCGAATTCCGTTGATCCCGTTCCGATGCCAGAATCAATTCGATTCGCTTTTCTCGCCGGAACGTTCTAACTCGCCATTTTGTCGCGAATCCACGGCGCACCGCGATCGACTCGAACGATCTGATCCATATTAAACATGGTCCGTAGTTTCTCGGTCGGACAGAGTGCGCCGTGAATACGCCAGAAACATATTAAACAACAGCGATTAGTTTAAAGTCAATGGTTCTTCGTGTATCCAACAGATTTTTTGGTTCTCGCTAGATCTCGATACTGTTTCGAACACTATCCTCTCGTAGAGCATGCTTGGCTAACTTCGAAAACGACAACTCCATGCATCACTAATTCAGCTATTTCGCAACAACCGATTCTTGTTAGCTACGTTACTCGGAAACTCGCTGTTCGTACGTATTCTGGTTGACTTTAAACTAATTCTCACCTTGGAGAAAAGGGAACTCTCGACCGGCGCGCACGAATCTTTGGAAACGAATTTTCGTATCTGTCTCGGTCTGCTTTATTCAGGTTCGCGGACAAGAGTCTCCCTTTTCCGAATTCTTTTGAGAAACAATTCAATCTTTTCGAGGATGTTTATTCGTACTCGGACAGATTTTGTAACCTGTGAATCGATCTATATCTTTCGACATATTCGCTAACACGTTTACTACTTTATTTATTTAAAGCAATTTAGTGAAATTATTTAACGTTTTGGGACACAGCTTCTGTCAGATCATTTGCATTTATTTCGAAGAAATTTATTCGAGTAACAGAATAAAATAATAGAAAAACACACGTATATGTAATCTAAAATATATTGCAAAATAAAATATTCTTCGACTATGAAAAGTGAACGAAACGAATATCCATATATTAAAAGTTCTCATTCCGTTTTAATATATTCCGGATAAAATTGGAAATTCACAGGTCACTGATAACTTTTTCTACAAAAAACCAGAAGTCGATTGAAATTGTTTCCCAGAAGCGGGTCCACCTAAATCATCATTAAACCTATCAATATATAAATATGTATATGTATATGTATAAGTATATGTACACATATAATATGATACAATTAACCTACGTCTGTTTCTAAAATATTGCTCAACAGCACATTCACAGGTGGAGACAGTAATACGGAAACCAAAAGAGAAAAAAAAAATAGTATGAAAAAAAGATACTCGACAAAAGCGACTCGTCTCTCGTATACGAACAGTGCTCTCTTAACGTAGTATCTTTTTATCGTCGTGATTCTCACTGTTTTCTTAAAAGTTTGACGCCGATTAAAATGTGTGCACACGGTCGATCATTCGTCGAACGCGATCTGCTCGTACGAATCATCGGCGCTCGAGAACTATCGCTGAAATCGTTTCTATGTCTTCTAGATGGGTGGAAAACAAAGATCTGTTCTTTTTCCGCTCGACACAAGTTTCTCAAGAAAGTTCCATGCGCTCGCGTTGCGAACAAAGTGAGGACAATATGTAACAGAGTGAAACGGAAAACGGTGCCGGTGAAAGAATGATCTCTGTGCAAAACTGGTGATTTGAGCAGAAACTGGGCGAAATTAAGCTACTTCGTTCCTCAGGCGTTGCCGTGGTACACGCTAAACTGCGGATGCTTATGCGAGTTTGCGTCCGATCGATGCTCAACGCTGCAACTACCGAAGGTTTCTAATTTCAGAATTTCCGATGAAATTCATTCGTTAGATGAAACGCTCGCAACGTTTTAATAGCTGCAAGATTGAAAACGAAATTGGTCCTTCGGACTCGTCCGATAGTTCCAGCGTTGATTATAATCGTAACAATAACATCTTCACTGCACACATTGAACTTAGTATACGACACACGAATAAAATGCAAGATATAAGATACAGGTGGTTTCACACTTGCCGTAACTCATTATTGTCCTCGCTATCATTCTTCGTTCTCATTCTCGATTATTTCGTTTAGAAAAGAAAAACTCTTTTGTGGCGAATTACTGATTAAATTTACTTATCGAGGCGTACGAAAAAATCGCATAAAATCGGAATAAATGCGATTGGCATTCGCGAATCTTGCAGACGCGTGTGCGACGAAGATATCATTATTAGCTCGAGCAGAAACAGAGACAAGACGGATTGCCGAAGAAATGGTGCGTCGAGTGCATTCAGTTGCGGTTCACGTTTAATTGCAGCCGATAAACATCCACGGTCCAGTAGAAATGCAGCGACAGCCGCGCAATGTGCAACAAAGAAGGAGCTACTCAATGAACAGACTTGCCAATGCTTAGAACACAAGAGGCGCATTCGCATGCAATAATAATCAATCGAACGGGGCGAAGGTAACGTCGCTCGCGCAAATAAACAGCGTTCAACAAGTCTATAGAGAGAGAAGTGCGTTCAGCAATCTTCAGAACTAGAATGCATACGGCGTAGACAAATAGTTAGCGGCGTTCCTCAAAGCTTTCTGTGGTTACTGAAGCGCGGGGATCCGTCAAATGCTCGCATTGCTACGTAATCACCACTCTCTTTGAACTATTGGTAATTGGTAAGCTGCGTTTTGTGTCGGTGATGGGACTCGCAATGAATCGAGTTTCTCTGACAAATGTCGTCTCGAACGAACAATCGATCCGGACACCGCGAGTTGGACAATCCTCGTTAAACGGCCCCCACAAGTTAACGTTAATTCTTGTCAAATATCTCTGTCGTTTAATCTACTTTACGTGCGATTAGAATCTGTGACTGCTTGGAACTCCTCAAGTTTGTGATCAATATCGCCAATTTTATTTACAATCGTGTAACTACGGTAAATTCTTCCTAATTTTCCTTCAGCTTGTAAACAAAAGTGGACAATTTGGGAGGAGGAGATTATTCGAGCCTCGCGCCTCGTTTTTATAATAGTTGATAATCGGCAACTATAAAAAATGAGCCACGAGTAATCGTATCTCCTCTTCGCAAATTGTTCATTTTCGTTTACAAACTGAAGGAAAATTAGGGAGAATTTCCTGTAATCGAAAAAATTGTGATTTCACTGAATAGTGAAATTCACAAATAACATTATCTTATATGTTTTAGTTTCTGCTTACGATTACTAGTGAAATTGACGATCGCCCAACTCTCGCGTCGTTTCGCCACGAAACTATGGAACCTCGATACGTTCATTTCAAACAGCGTGTTAATCCGGAGAAAGTGAGATACCGTGTTCTCGATGTCTTTCCAAAACATAGCTTTTTCAGTGTACAAATTGTATGCACCATGATCCATGAGTGTGCTAAGCAGCCGAGGAATTAAAAAGAAATGATAGTAAGCTACGGATCGTGTGCGTTCTTTTTCTCGACAATCGGAATGAAAGGTTTCTCGAGGTGGGTGGAGCGGGGGATGATGTTGCAAATGAAACATCGAGAGAAAAATGTCTGAACGATGTCGATAGAATGGGAGGGGGGGGGGGGTGATTCTGGTTCTGAACATTGCCAATATATCACAAATAATAGTAATAATAATAGTAATAAAAAAATAATAATAATAATAATGCCGACACACCGAGGCAAACGGGTTAACTAAACAACAGACAGACTCAACCACTCACGAGACATATGTATATACTAATCATCGTCACTGCCTGTACGGCATCAATTAAATATCAATCAAGACTCCATTTTACCTGAGTTCAGAATGGAGCCTTGCGTGGGCCGAAATAGTTGTAGAAGTAGTAGACGTAGTGTTAAACAGAGGAACAGATAAGTTGCATACATTGATTAGTCCAAGAGAAAACAACGTTCGGTCAATTTTGCTACGGGACTTCGCTAGTTTCGAGGGGATGGCGGATCGCAGTCGATCGAAACCCCACACGATGCCTCCAGAATTTCATTCAAAAGGAAGCTATTCGCGATAGCAATCGCCGCCTTTGTTCCTGCGCACATTTACACCTCGCCGTAGTTGCGAACATTTTTATATGAAAAAAGTATATTTTGCAGTTTGAATTGTAACAGCTAAGTTTTCTTCTTCAACATCGGTCATGTTATCTTCTCGATAGAAACCATTCATCGAAGGATAGAATTCTAAGAACTATACTTATGATAGATCGTTGGTTAAAATGAAGCCGCACAATAAAGCGTTTCAATAACATAAACTTTTACTGAACGCTTGTATGCTATATTAATTATAGGAAAGATAATTGCACGAATTAGAGACTTCATATTTCTGCGGAACATTTTGGACAATTTANCGTGTTAATCCGGAGAAAGTGAGATACCGTGTTCTCGATGTCTTTCCAAAACATAGCTTTTTCAGTGTACAAATTGTATGCACCATGATCCATGAGTGTGCTAAGCAGCCGAGGAATTAAAAAGAAATGATAGTAAGCTACGGATCGTGTGCGTTCTTTTTCTCGACAATCGGAATGAAAGGTTTCTCGAGGTGGGTGGAGCGGGGGATGATGTTGCAAATGAAACATCGAGAGAAAAATGTCTGAACGATGTCGATAGAAGGGGGGGGGGGGGGGGGTGATTCTGGTTCTGAACATTGCCAATATATCACAAATAATAGTAATAATAATAGTAATAAAAAAATAATAATAATAATAATGCCGACACACCGAGGCAAACGGGTTAACTAAACAACAGACAGACTCAACCACTCACGAGACATATGTATATACTAATCATCGTCACTGCCTGTACGGCATCAATTAAATATCAATCAAGACTCCATTTTACCTGAGTTCAGAATGGAGCCTTGCGTGGGCCGAAATAGTTGTAGAAGTAGTAGACGTAGTGTTAAACAGAGGAACAGATAAGTTGCATACATTGATTAGTCCAAGAGAAAACAACGTTCGGTCAATTTTGCTACGGGACTTCGCTAGTTTCGAGGGGATGGCGGATCGCAGTCGATCGAAACCCCACACGATGCCTCCAGAATTTCATTCAAAAGGAAGCTATTCGCGATAGCAATCGCCGCCTTTGTTCCTGCGCACATTTACACCTCGCCGTAGTTGCGAACATTTTTATATGAAAAAAGTATATTTTGCAGTTTGAATTGTAACAGCTAAGTTTTCTTCTTCAACATCGGTCATGTTATCTTCTCGATAGAAACCATTCATCGAAGGATAGAATTCTAAGAACTATACTTATGATAGATCGTTGGTTAAAATGAAGCCGCACAATAAAGCGTTTCAATAACATAAACTTTTACTGAACGCTTGTATGCTATATTAATTATAGGAAAGATAATTGCACGAATTAGAGACTTCATATTTCTGCGGAACATTTTGGACAATTTAGGGAGAAGAGATACGATTATTCGAGCCTTGCGGTTCATTTTTATAGTTTATGATTGTCAACAACTATAAGAACGAGCTGCAAGCTGCTCTGCTCGATGAACGAGTCTCAAACTTGCGACAGGTCAACAAACATCGTTTCTTCTGTTCCTTGAAGCACGGTTCCGTAAATTGCTACCCGAAGTGGCCCTTTTTAATCGAGATCCACCGGGCACCGTGTTCGCCGAAGTCTACAGTTCGCCATCCCCTCAAGTTTCGTTAGACAGCCTCAGATACTGCATTATAAGTGGTGGAGCTTAAGTGTCGCTGCTAAAACGCTAGGCGGATCTGAGAAACTGGGTTTCGTACCATGCTCAACTCTCCTCGTGCCACGGCGAACGTGGCCACGATGCTCTAGGAAGCTGTACGGTTCGCTTGCTTGTTATGTTCGTTTAGTTATTCGTTTAACGGTACGGAGAAACTGTGCGAAAAAGTTGAACATAGCGGTGGTGACATAACAATATGATAGAAGCTGTAAATAGAATAATACGAAGTTCCAGTGTCGTGGTAGTTGCTAACAGGGGAGATCGATATTACCAAACATTTTTAAGGACAGTGAGAGAATGTTGATCGTGTCTGTTCTAAGTGACGATTGTTTCCCTCCGTACTGTCTCGTGGATCTCTTCTCGATGATCCCAGTACAGTAAATTCTCTCTAGTTGTCCCTCAGATTGTAAGCAAAAATGGACAATTTGGGAAGAGGAGATACGATTAGTCGCCGATTGTCAACAACTATAAAAACAAGGCTGGAATAATCGTGTCTTCTATTCCCAAATTGTTCATATCTATTTACAAGCTGAGGGACAATTGGAGAGAATTTACTGTAGTTGTAAATCTTTCTTAATTCAAAGACAATTTAAAATTGTACTCAATTTGTACACGGAGTACAAATCTTCTCCGGCATTGGGAGAAGAAAGCTCGAAGAATTGTACGATTTAATCGATGTTGAATCGCGCCGATCGCCGGGACAGCAGAGAGAGAAACGCTAATGAAGGATGACGTGAATCGTAATCGAAACAAGGTATGGAAAAAAAAAGGTTGAAACGAGAGAACAAGAGATGAAGTATGATGGTTCTCTTCGATTATTGAACGAAATAAATGAACATATCCAATACAAAAATCGTAAAGTGACTATCATGGCAAGGTGATAATATATATATTATATATATCAAAAAACACTGCATAAGCCACATTTCAGAAACGGATCATAGATTCCTCGGTCGAATGTAATCGAAGAAAGCGGAATCAAGGCAAAGTGAACGTGATATATATATATAATACCGTAAAATCGTTTATATATATATAGTATATATAAATGTTTCATCTAAGGGCTAAGGTTGTCGAACACAGTGCCATTAAGATTGATCATAAGCGTCGTTTGAATATAATTCAATCGGTAATCGAAAAGCGGACTAAGATGTTGCATCCATTAGAACAAAGTGATGAACTCGCACAAAAAACTTGTGAGGATTCCAAAGAAAATAACGGACAAAATATCGACAAAATATCGGGTGGGGGGGGGTGTAAACAATAGTAATCGAACGTAAAGATCGATCTGTTAAGTTCGCGGGTGACGTAGCAATCCATTTAGCAAAAAATCCTGCGTCGGTAGCAAGCTCTGCGCCGAACAGAGAACAAACGGTCGCCGCAGCGCAACAACTATACGCAACAGGAACAAGAATGCGGAACGGAACAAAATATCATGGAACAAAAACGTTTCTGAGATAAATCAAAAGAATAACGGTGAACTGTCTCGCTAGGTTCGCTAATATGTATTCAACGTCATGGCCAAAAATCGTAATGCTTGCAGAGCGTATCAAAAAGAGAAACGGAAAAACGAAAACAGGAAACGAAAATAGTGAAAAAGAAGAAGTATTAATTCCCTCTTGCGGGAAAGTCGTCAGAATTACCTTTTTGTTGGCGTACTTATGGTAGTACCAGTTGGATATTGTTAAAAGAAGTTATTATGAACAACAGTAACAGTGTTAATACCATGTTTGCCAGAAACGATTTGAGAAATTAAGATGTATAATAATAATAATAATAATAATAATAATAATAATAATAATAATAATAATAATAATATTAATACTATCGTAATATATGTAATTTGCAATCGAGACGATACAGTTCGATCAAATGGATTACTACAAAACGAATAGTCAACTAATGGATGATAGAATGACATGTATGAGTGAATCTCGTGTTGAACAATTGAAAAATAAATCCTCGGTTTAGATTCGATCGATTTCTTTTTCTCTTTTATATTATTTCTTTTCTCTTGTTTTGTGTACCGATTGGATTTCGATCTCGGATCATCTATGATTTCGTAAGCGACATTCTACCGTAAACTTTTTGTCTGATGGATAAATTGTACAGGCTGTCTTGTAATTAGGCGAGCAAAATTGTTCCATAAACAGTGACAACCGAAACGAGCCCATTGCATCGAATTCAGATCAATTTTTATTTGAATAAAACGTAATTATTTCTTGCGCCATGAATTATAAAACAACCTGTGTATAATTAGAAAACTGTTACATACACAATGACCCGCAGAAACATTCGCACAAGACAAAATTTATTCAATTTAACTTCAATGATCTTATAATAGAGTTGCAAAATTAAAGTAAAAATTTTGGACAAGAAAATTCGATGATTGAGAATTTTACTCGACGTGCAACCATTCCACGCAGAAACACTATCGAAAGATCAATAAAATTGAGTCGAATCAATTTGATTCTTGCGTAGGAACATTTCTGTGAACCACTGCAAAGGATCGAAACGATTAGGAAATCATAGAACGGTAACATTGATGAGCTCGGCGTTACGAAGTCTCTAATAGAAAGATTAGTTGAGTTTGAAGTGTGCTTACCGATTCCAAATGGTTTGGATGGCGTGGTCACGAAGTTTTCGTCGTTTCTTGTGTGACCGGTGGATGCACGACGAGAATGCAGCATTCCGTTTAACTCGCTGTTGAGATCCGTCACACTTTCGGATCGGGTGACGTTCAGGGAGTCCATCGAGGTATCGGATCTCATGATCTGTAAGCATTAACGACGTATAATACATTCGAGAAACTTGTACCAGACGCGTTCTCCAATTAACGTCCATTTTAAAGTAAAGAAGAAGATGAAAAATGAAGATTTTGGAAACATTATGGGACTTATTTAAGAAAAAACACGTCTGGTGTCTATTGACTGCTGTAAAAATTCTACAGTTAATGAATTCATGCCACTAAATGCAAGAGTTATTAATATGGTTTTTATAAGACGCAAGAATTCGATTGAATAAGTAATGTTGCTGATGATCTATGTACATCGCAAATTAGTGGCGCAAACTGTGATTAAAATATATACAGATTTATTTAATGAGTTTAATAATAATTTAAGCAATGTAAAAATTAGTTCCAACAGCATTGAATGAATAACAAATTTATATGAAAATATGAATTCACATACGAAGTTGCACATATGTGACAGAAAAAAAGGAATAAAACTTTCACGCTTTAAAAGTAATCAATTCTTATCAGTAGGATAATTATTATAAAAATAAAATAAAAATCAGCGTCAAAAGATACGAGATCATATTTTAAGGAAAGTCTGTGGCAAAATAAAAGGAGAAAACGGAAAAAAATGAAATTAAACGAAAAGCATACAGTGCGTCCAAGACGTCGGAGGGGCAGTAGTACCTGCGAGAAGTTGGGTACACTTGCAGTCTTGCGCATCAGTGGTTGACCTTGTGCTTGCAGCAACTCTTTTACCGCAACGTTTTGCCGTAATCGGTCTAGAGTTAGGATACTTTCCACCGCCGAGACGCCGCGCGTATATTTTTCTAAACAGAAACACGTCAGGTGAGTTTCAACGATAGAAACTGATTGGCTCGTCCTTAAATATATAGTTTCGGAGTTCATAGATTATTTAGCAGACTCACCGATGTACGTTTCTCCATCGCACAAACTGTTGTCCTCTCCACTGGCAGCAATCTGCGCCAAACTCTCGCGATCTTCCAGCTCCTCGCTGGCCTTTGGTATATTAGACACTACCTCGTAGGTGACGCCTGTTTGAGTCTCGCAGTCGGTGCCGACGATCTTCTTGAACAGTCTGTCCCTGATGCTCTGTCTTTTGTAGATGTTGAGGTTCAGTCGTTTACGCAGCACGAGGTCCATCGGCGCCGGATGCGACAGCCTGACTGTCGTCTTTACGATCAAGAACACTCTCTCGTTCGCTGGAAAAACATTTTAAAATCAAGATTTTTCATGTTTTCAAAAGATAACACCATCCTAGGTTATCTAGATAGACTACAATCAAAGCTAGACAAAATAATGTTATCCGAGAGTTATAATTTCATAGCTTGAACCAGTCTGGACCTGCCCACTTCAGCTTCAGCGTTGGTTCTCTTATTGGATCTAAATTAAATAGTTAAAAATTTAACCAGAGTACTAGAAAATTAATATCCACAGATTAGAGCTAAATCCCATCTGAAAATTCAATACCAGACTTCGCTGAAAATAGTAGACTCACCATCTGTGACTTTGTTCAGGTGTATATTGTCGTGTATACTAGAGTCCCAAGCAGCGATGGCACAAACATCTTTCTCAATGCGACGAATGATTGGCAGATTGTAAAATTTGTTGCCGTGTTCCTTGGGCAAGATGGAATTCAGTCCCGTGACAGAAACTTCTTCTCCGGACTGGTGGGTTGAGAGATCATCGGCTGTAACGAGAGATTATCGTCTTAGTCGAAGTTAGAGAAATGAGGGATAAGTGAAGAAGGAATTGGTACTTTACCGTTGAGATCAAGGAACAGTACAGGTATGTGCGGTTCCATGCCTGGTGGAGGGTTCCAGTCAGCAGGTGCGCCAGGTATGCCTGATCCTGCCGCGGGAACCAAAACTGCATTTCGTTCTTCCGTCAAACTGACCCATTGATCCACCAGGCTCTGTTCACGTTCCATGTCTTGTTCTGTCTTGTCTGCGTTAGATGAGAGATTTATGTTAGCTGTATCGTCACCATAGTACTGTACCATAATCTTCTAGCAGTCTATTCATTAGTTATACGAACGCCTCCTGTACCTTGCTTGTTAATAAGCTTCTGTATCTGCTGGTCCAAGTACTGTCTCCTCCTCATCAAGGCCTCGCTCCATTTTTCTCTCAGTATGCTCAGGTCCTCATCCTGATAACTGTCCAATGGAATCTGAAGGCGATTCCTGACTGACACACTACCGACTGCCACGTTTAATATCGATTGACAAATGATCGGCAGTGTTCCAGAATTTTGTACTGGTTTCACGCGAACTTGTATCCGCCGCTGCTGACCCTGTCGCAGCTGGTAAATGCCGCCTGCGGAAAATGCTGAGTTCGCGTCGCTAGAAGAACCTGCGACAATTCAAATCATTCGCATATAGAGGTAAGCTAGACCTAACTTCTCAAAATCTTAGTAACTATTACCATCTACTAACTACTAACTATTGAGTACTGAATAAAACGTAGAGGATGCAAATTTATTAGAAATGTACACACCTGTCCATGTATTTCGTTTCACGGATACTTCGACAGGCGCGTACTCTCCTTGCTCGTTCAGTTCTTGGATCTCGACCCACAGCTCGATCTTCCGCGTCAACTCGGACCATCGATCAGCCAAGGATCTAGCTTTGGCCAGCTGTTGCTCGACCTCCCACCCGGGTTTGCTCCGGGAGAATCCTGCGCTTCGGTGGCCCCACACTTCTATACTCAAGGCACCCTCTGCATATTGAAAAAGAAGGCATTGTCACATTGTCTCTATTGTTAAACTGTGAAAGCCTATGGTATCCTGTGTCTACCCAATGAGATTAGTATTATCAGAGTTTATAAAGAAGGATGTTGACGATATTACTATGTCTTAACATAGGAGATTGCTCTGAAAACAAGAGATTAAAGATAAGACTCAATTGGTAGAATGAAAGTGTAAAACTGTGAGGATAATATGATGCGGTTAAAGGAGTTCCTTACCAGCACAGTGTTCCATAAACTCCTCCGTAACGGGCACAACAAAGTCATTCGTGTGGTTGAACTTGAACGCCAATGAGTCCCGCTGTCCAGCCTGGCAGTTCGGGTTCAATTGTTCCGAGTTGTCCACCGCCGGGACCACGATTGGTTCCGGGTGTCCACAGAACATGTACTGGCAGAACACGTAGTGACTCAATGACAGCGGCAAACCGGTCGCTTGTTTGATTGTGACGCGACAAGTGATGTGACTCGACCCGGAATAGTCCTCGGGCTCGGACGAGGTCGAATCGGCCGAGGATTCCGAGGCTGCCTCGCACATCCGATCCTGAGGGAAATGACCGGATATACGGCTGATCTCGATCTGCAGTCGTCCAGCGACTTCTCCCTGTTGGCTGATGATCGGCGTGTGATAGTCTAATCGGACGTCGTGGAATAGGACCTCTAGGAATATGTTCGCCACTCCGATCAGATTGTGGTTCTCCTGGGACTCGTAAAACGGGTCCTGCGTCTTCCCCGGTACTTCGTCCTGATTGAAAGAAAAGATCACGTTTGTTTGTGAAGACGGAAGATGATCTTCGCATAAGTCGCAAAGATCCACAGTTTAATTATTATGTATTGTTCTTGTTGCTAATTACTTCTTTTTATTCAAGGTGCTTTTGTACAGTTCGGATACTGATCATCCTGCGCATCAGACAAATATTCTGATAGAGAAATAATTTTGTTCATGTTTCAGAAGATCTGGGTCTTTGATCTTTTTTAAAATAGAGGTTCTTATTTTTATTAGCATGATATTAATAGCTGAGCTCACTTCATGTTACATTGAGTACACTTTATGATTACATTTAATAAATTGATGATTCAATTGGTTTTTTTTTTAATAGTTGTTTAGAGCTGAGAACTTGCCTTCATGCCAGGTAATCGTTGACAGTTATTCGGATCCTTCCAGTCCTCGTACATTTCTCGCATGTCGACCAATTTGTTCCCTAGTTTTTCCATCGACCACACCTGGCTGCCCATGTTTGTCCTTTTAACTAAGATCGCGGGTTCGCTGACGAACGCGCCCCGCTGGAAAAATACACTCTGCTTACCGAAGAGTGCGAAAGCAGAACGAGCACAAATAAATAAACACAACGAAAGCCAACTGAAAATACAGGAAATTATAAATAAATACTTAAAGCGACTGAACTAAATACAAATCGCCACGGTATTCAATAAAAGAATGCGTCAACAATAGAACTACCGGATCCATCTCAAATTATGCTTTATATTTTATTTTACTTCTGTGAGATATTACTAACTAAACTTATCAACAAACTACTGCTTTATTATTTCCATATGGTAAAACAAACAAGCCACCTTTAGCTTACAGTAGTTCTAGTGTTAAATGTATGCACAAGAAATGAGTAGCCTTTGATCAGATTGCAGATTTTTCAATTCTTCTGCAGAATGTTCACAAATCAGAACAAAGTTAAAATAATTAATCTCTTTTAAATCTTTTAAATTCGTTATTATCTTAGAAATTATAAAAACTTTCATTAAACAGAATGTAACTTAAGCATTTAATTCATACTAGTTAAAAAGTGCACAAAATCTACAATCTAATTCCTGCACACTACAAGTGGAAACAATTAGGATACATGAAATAATTATACAAATACAAAATCAACGATTTACAAACAACTATTCTAATTTCGCAATGGATATACTGTTTGTACTGTGCCGACTGCAATCTGGCCAACTGAACAATACCTTTCTGTTCGGACTCAAGTTGTTCGGCGGAATCTGCAGGGTCACGCTAAATTTCGTCTGCTTGCCCATTTCCTCCGCCAAGAAGTTCGCCTCCTGCACCAGGGAGTTGGCTTTCAAAATGTCCGCCTTTAATTGACCTAAGCTCCTCTTGAACATCTCGTCTCTCTCCTGAGCCCACTTTTCGACGCGCATTTGCGTGGTCGGCGTGCAGGCTGGCAACTTGCCGCTTTGACTGCCTCTTAGAGGATCGTAGGGTACATACGGTGAATACGGTGTCGACGGCGATAAGATATTGCGTAGCTGCTGGAACTGCCGCTCGTACTCTTGCCTTTGCTTCTCCAGCGCGACCTTTTGATCAGTGAAAAGCCCTTGTTAACAATCGGTCTACTGAATGCCGACTACGGTGCCCGAGTGATTTCGCACCCACATGGATAGTTCACTAATACTAATTCATTGTCGCTCGACTCTCGAGCTACTCACATTGTGCCAACACAATAACGCTGGTACGAGTCTCGGGCGCATTACAGATTTGTTGTTGCGTATAATTTGTGTAAATTAACATTGGCAATTAGACAAAGTTGGACAATTTGTATGGTGTTATCGGTGATAGGATTATAGGAGCATTCTATAACAGAATTATAGGAACACATTTGTCGTGTAATATTTTCTCTTTACGCTAAAAATAAGCCACGTATTTATGAAACTCAAGTTAAGTGGGATACCTTGCTGTATATGTATAGGATAGTATTATCCGCAATCATTTTGCATGTGACAAAATTCTTCGTCTTTCGAGTACAGGCAAATGTAAAGTCAAGTAAATTAAGATTATAAAATAAAACTGGTATAAACTTCAAATCATTACATACAATTAAACCGTTATACGTGATGTACCTAATAACATACTCCTTAACTATTTTAGTCAGATCCGATACTATAATATATTATTATAATATTATAATTATAAAAATTTTTCAATCCTTGATCCTTAGAAACTGTGTTACATGAAGAAAAATCTTAGAGATACTGCTTCAAATAATGATAAAAAGAATGAATGGGAAGTTGAAGAAAGTAAAGAGAACAATTTTCAGGGAAGCAACGATATGTGTCCCTGCAAGAACCCTGTCAGCGGCCGCACCTGTTTGTCCTCCTCGTGTTGTTTCTCTAGTCTCGCGATGGCCCTCTGTATCGGATCGTTCGACAGCTCGTTAAGCATCAGCTCTTCCCTCGCGAAGTTGTAATCGATATTCTGCGCGGGTGTCTGCGGCTCGCTGTTGATCGCTGCGAACGGAAGACACACGGTTATTCCTCGAGAGATGATCAGCCGCTAAGTAATTCCTTAAAATCGCAATCGGAAGCTCGGTTCAGACTCGATCGTACCTGTTGCGCTCCTGGGACAGTTAACTCGGAAGAAATGATGATTTCCCCAGACGATCCTGTCGCCGTGCAACAACGGCGTTTTTTCGACGACCTGTGTGCCGTTTACGAAACACCTAGCACCGTTCAACGGCGTCATGTACAGCCCGGACTCCTCTATCGTGATCACACAGTGTTCAGGGAGGATACCCAAACCGTGCAGTTGGATGTCCTGGTCCAGTTTCGCGGATCGACCACCCACCAGTGTCCTCTCCTAATTTTTCACATAAAGAAGCACCTTTTAGCCGAAGATTTGGTAAGTTTGTGGACAGTGTTTGCCGCTGCTGACAAAAGTTTGCGTCTTTGACTAAGAGGAAGTTCGTGAACTCTCTAGTACTTGCGATCATTAAAATTTAGGATGTGGAAAGGAAACGAATGAAACAAGCTTTCGAACTGAATGTTTTACTAGATACTTGAGAAAGTTTGTGAACAGAAGTTCTGTAGACTGATCTGTAGGGTACCTTCAGGTAATACACCAGTAACTCGTTCAAGCTGGGATCGTCGTTAAGGTTCACAAGGTAGTACTTGTTCTTCTCGACTTGGATACCAGAAGCCTGCACGCTGATCCCCATTTTCTCCAAGGCTTGCTGCCTTTCGTGTTGCAGCTTCTCAGTCTTCACCAGCTTCTCTTCCCACGTCTGCGACATCTCCTTCATCAGTCGTTCCGACTGCGACAGTTTCTCCGTTATGTCTGTGCGTTGTTGGCCCACTATCGACCCTTGTCCCTTCAGAAACAGCAGGAGAATCGCAGGATTAGTCGAAGGAACTAATGCCCCCGTGGTCGCCAGATTACTAGCTTCCACCTCTCTTTAATTAATCTGGCAAGTCGAGAAGAAAATAGGTCCATTCGTTATTCTATCCTATTTAGATCCGTCTTATCCTCAATCGTTAAACTTCCGTGCAGTCTGATCTTTAAGGGGATATCCTGGTTTTAAATTTTTGAAGAACTAATTTGCTTTTTTATTTTCTTCAAGTATAAGTATCGTCATAGATCCGTATTAAAGAAAATGATTCCTCATTTTTGGTATTGAATTAGTGGAAAAGATAAAATCGTGGAAACATTAAACACAATTTTTGTAAAACAGTCTCGATACAACAGAAAATAGATTATGTAATTTTAATTATTTTTGATTCAAATATATTTTGTTCTACGAAAGAAATTATTATACTAATACATTTTCTTTTCTACTTAAACCGGAAAACTCTCCTCAACCCCGTATAACAATTAAAACTTGTTCCATTGCAAATGCTGGGTACATAGAAAAGTTTTCGCAGCCTTCTGATGAATGATGACACCTGATACTCCTGTCCATTATAGACGAAACTTTATCAATTAATATTTATCAGACTTCATTACAAAAGTTTCTAACTTCGACGCTTCGTCGCGGCTGATTCAGTTGCGCCAACTTCTTTCCATCGTACTCCGAATCTCTATGAATTCAAATTTCTAAGGTCTCATTGTTGAAACGAAGAACTTCTTCCTCCAATTACGGACTTCGTTCAATTCCGAAGAAAAATATCGAGCTCCTTTGCATTAAAATCTCGAGAGAATTTAAAGCGTCTACGCAAACCGTGTTGTAAAAATAACAAAATTCAATCTATTTGGAATTTGGTGTCCGAATGGAACATCTATCGAATCGTTGTCCATGAGAGTACTTGTAATTTCGATAATAGCGGAACCAAGAATTTATCGAATCATTGTTCAAGGATGCTCCTTTATAATTTGAATAACAGCAAAACAAAATGTCTGTCGAATTGTTTTCCATTAAATGACTTCTATCATTTCAATACAGGCAAAACGAAAAATTTATTGAATCGAACTGCATAAAAGCACTTCTATAATTTCAGTGACGACGGAAGAAAACGTCTGAAAAAAAGTCTGAGTTTTCTATTAAATGAAAAAATTCTATCATTTCAATACAGGCAAAACGAAAAATTTATTGAATCGAACTGCATAAAAGCACTTCTATAATTTCAGTGACGACGGAAGAAAACGTCTGAAAAAAAGTCTGAGTTTTCTATTAAATGAAAAAATTCTATCATTTCAATACAGGCAAAACGAAAAATTTATTGAATCGAACTGCATAAAAGCACTTCTATAATTTCAGTGACGACGGAAGAAAACGTCTGAAAAAAAGTCTGAGTTTTCTATTAAATGAAAAAATTCTATCATTTCAATACAGGCAAAACGAAAAATTTATTGAATCGCACTCCATAAAAGCACCTCTACAATTTCAGTGACGACGAAAGAAAACGTCTGAAACCGGTCGGTGTCTATCATCGTTCCAATTTTAAGCTGCGAACAAACGCAATAGCGAGTCGGTAGTTATTTTCTAAGTCCCCTTATCGCGGCGTTCGATATCGCTCCTCGTGACCGAATTTCATCTTTATTTACATAAGATAAAAGTTTTTAGCGCCGGGAGAGTATAATCTGAATAAGATTCAGCGCGGATCCGAGGCTACTGCAATGCACGAAGTTGCACAAAGTCAACGATCCTGTGTTTACAGAGAAGAGTGAATCGTCTTACAGTCGCGTGGAGCAGCATCTCCTTCAGCGTTTCCACCTCCTGCCTCAGCTCCCGAATAATTCTTGCGTTCGGGTCTTCGTTGACCACAGCGTGATTAACGATCCTCTTCGCTCTGTCCGCGTATCGGAGGGTGGAAAGCGTTTCCTCGTAATTGTCCGCCGCCGGTGATATAGTGGCCACCATTACAGTTTTACTGTTGCCGCCAAGGTTATCCTAAAACCGAACAACAATATTTTCACACGCGCGGAACCACGGACGAGACACCGCCATTAATCCATCCATTCGATTTTACCGGCGGTTTGTCGAAAATAACAATTAATTAAACAAATTGAAACGGGATTCGTATTTCTCGCGTTTTAAACTCGATTGCCAATGATATTGTTTCAGAGGAACGGCACAAAAATTATTCGGATATACAGTTACGAGTCCTATTCGCGTACTACGGAAATGCAGTATAAATAAAGAGAAAAAAAACAATTTCCGAAGGATGTATTTTATTCATATATATATATTTTATATTTTTATATTTATATATATATATTTTATTTTTATATATATATTATAGTTAATCGAATTAATACTAATTTTATTAATACAGCTTTTCCGTTTTGATCATGCAATACAGTATCAAAAATTGATGTTAAAATTTTAGCTTTGAATGCAAACGAAGATAAAGAATAATTTCGTGATAGAAAATTTTATATTCGAAATGTGCGTAACCATACAAAAAAATTACTTGAATTTTTGAAAGTTTAGATTTGAGATTCGCATACTTTGCACATTGAATATTTGAAACTTCAGAAGTTTAAACGTCAAGATGTAAAGTTTTTGATGGAGGAAGTTAGAAACAGTTTTGCGACAGTTTTATATTAAAGCGAGATAAGTGTTTTAATGGTTCTTCGGTGGAATAAGAATTTTTGGATATACCTTCAGGAGCCACGTTAAAACGGAGTCTCTGTACGGCACGAATTTGTCCTTATTCTTATTGCTTCCGGAATTCTGATCCGCCAGCTTCGAAATGACTAGACCCAACGTCGTTAGGGATCTGCAAATATTTGTCCCTCGTGTATCCCGCGATCGATCATCAATAGACTCCTTCAAAATGAACCGAACATCCGCAAACATTCCTCGCACAACAATCAAGTTTCCCCACGGAGTTCATAAGACATCCGGTTACTCTTGTGCAACCCAATCTCCCATCACCGAATTTTCGAAAGCGCTTCATTGGTTTTTGATACAGCACTTCTTCAAATTTTCGCTGCACAATGCGCGGAGGACACGTTATATGAAACAATTATATTGACGGATGTAAAATTGCATCTTGAAGTAGTCCGAATTACTTTAAAACGATTAAAATATTCAGTATCATTTCATCATTTGTGTCACATTGGAAAATATCTCTTCTAGAAGAAACATTTGCAGCTGAATCCTCAGTGTCCTTGATGCTGGATCCATCGGGCATCATAAACTAGCATTTTTGTATGAATTATTCTCTGGATTTTATTATAATAATAACCGCATTTATAATCATACCGATCGCAAAATAAAAATATGACATGTATTAAACAAAGTTCTCTGGTATTTTCTAGTGCAGAAAGGTGCACCGGTTAAACGCCAAAAATGGGCGACTGAAAATCACAGTCCATCTAACCGGCCAGCAACTACCACTAAAATGGCTGAAAGCTAGTTGCCATTAAAATGGCTGACAGTTAGCTGCCACTAAAATGTGTGATAGCTAGGTTTCACTAAAATATCTGACATTTAGGTGTCGTCAAAATGTCCGGAGCTCGTCCACAAAATGGCTGGAAGCTAGCCGCGATCAAAATGGACGATTGCCAGCCGCCACCAAAATTATCACCGTCGAAATGAATTTCGCACGTTAATATTTTTGATCGTCACTTTGATCGTCTTACGGGGAATTCGCTGTTTCAGCCGACGCCGAGGATCCAGCTTGTATGCAAGAGAGGAAGAAGAGAATCTTTACTTGTTTATATTGCTTCCTTCTTTAAGCCTATCGCCCACTGCCCCAGTTTTCACAGCCCTTTCGCTCCCTGCTAAGTCCACTAAGCTCATCCGGGAGACTTTCTCCCCGCTGACGCCGCTTCTCGTATCTGTCAACGTCTGCGTGAGTATCACGGAGAACACAGCATGCGAACGGGAGCTTTCCGAATTCATGTTCGTCGCTGCCACCGTCCGCGATTTGTTGCCCTCTGCCATTAGATTGTCAATGTCCTGGAAAATCAATCGAAGACATCGATTAACATCTTTCAAACCCTCTGTCGATCCATAAAACGCAAAACGTTCTCAGGAAATGTTTCACATTTAAACCTTCAAACATTCTGCTAATCTTTAATCCTCCCTTGAATTCGATTTGTTTACTGAGAGCTACAGCTGACAACGATTTGGTCTATTTAAAGTATTTATTCAAAGACGTCCAAGTAGCTTGACCATGCGATGAATTAAGCAACGACCAATTGAAATTGTTTGCCAGGAGCTAAGTAGACGTGATTCTCTCGAGGCATTAATTTTCTGACATCGTTCGCAATTTTCATTTGTCTCTATTTTAATACTGACAGCAGTTGATTGTCATTAGACTGCGGATCTTTAGGCAAGATCTCGTACATTTCTTATTTTCGAGAACTATGCAGTAACTATAAGCAGCATTGTGTCTGAAAGGAATTCAGCAATGTCCTCTCTAACGACAATTTCTCAAAAGAAATTGTTCATAGTTCGCTGCTTCGTGTAAGCTCTAAATAATTTTGTATTTTTTAACACTATGAAGTAACCGTAAGCAGCTGGTGTTAATGCATCGCTAGTTAATGCAATCTAGCTAAATGGAGCCTTAATTTTCAAGTTGACTTTTTCTCGCTGCGTTGCGATTATCGCGATTATCTGCATTATCGCGTCGTGAATTATTTTCTACCTGTAAGAAGAAATGTTCTGTTTAATTTCGGAATGGGATGTGCCGATTGGAGGATTAAAAAAACCCAGAAAGGGGACGTTGGTGCATGAGTTTTCTGCTAGACACAGCCAATCGAGAGTTATCACGCGTTACTGGTATGCGCGAAACGTGTTTGTTGCATAAAAGAGGCAGCCGCTGCCCTCGCCGTATGTAAAACGACCTGATTTTACTTTCTGAAAGGATCGTGTATCATTACCTCCGTCCGTTTAATGATCGTACCTCGGCCGAACGATCGTTCGGAGCCATTTGATTCAGATCCGATCGTGATCGTGACGGTTCAATCAATTTGCTAAGGTTGTTCGGTGCACAGCAATAATTGTCTCGTTACTCGCCGAGTAATACAATCGATACCAGACGAAACCACTCTATAACTTTTATAATCCCGTTATCGTCGAGCAAACATCACCGTTGCCGAAGAACCGTAGATCGTTATCATACGATCGGCCCATTAATTGAAGATGTGTAATATCGATGCCCGGGGCCGGGATTCTTTATTATTATCGAAATCGCTCTGTCACCGAGAGAAATGGAGTTAGCAAATGAATCCGAAAATCGAATATTACCTATTCGGGATGTACAGTTGAGTCGACGATGGGGGAGAATCGGATTCGCAACGATTCAAAAAGGAAACAAAATTGATTTAGAAATCGAAGTACGCTGCTGAAAAATTGCGGCACGAACCAATCTAATTCGGAAATGATCGAGTCGCGTGTGAATTATTATGCAGCTTGTGATACGGTCGAATGAAACGAGAAAAATCGATCAGAAATTCGATCTCGATTAAGAGTAATTAATTGCCCCGTTATTCGAAACTCATTAGCAAATGTGTAACACGGGGGCATCGATGGTAGGCGGAAAAAATAGTCTGGTTGCTCGAAGAATAATTGCGTCGGTGTCGCGGACAGGTGATTTGTGGTGGTTAAAATTTCGTTATCGGCGAGACGGATTAAAATTGCGAAAAAATTGCACGCGGAGTTCTACGCTCGCCCGTAGAACGTGCCGTAACCGAGATCGCATTGATGAAGCGCGCCAACGACAGATATTGATCATAACGGTTTCAACTTTGGATCGGTGCCAGTCCCCGGTCAAAACAGGTGATAAATAAAGGAGAATCGCCGCTCTGTGTCGGACACACAATTATAGTCTTCCGTCGTAGAAATTTCGGACGGCGGGCGATGTCGTCGCTTGATAAATGACGCCTTCAGCCTGATAAGGGATCCTCGGTTTCGCTATCTATCCGAATTCTTACAACCATACGTCACCGATGTCTTCGCGACTTCGGGTAAAACGCGTGCGCCGATTCACGAAAAATTCGACTCTCCTTAAAATTCGCAATTCAATTAATCGAAATTGCAATCCTCGAATGACCTTCATAGCTTTCAAGTTCGTGAACCACAAGTATCTCCGAATTTAACGTTGTCCATGAAATATAAATTACGGTTATTTCTTACCCTGTATTGGTCGAGTTTCAAGGTCTCAATTAATTCTCACCCAATTCCCAGACTTCTCCGTTTCCATACAATTTGTGTCTACAATCGTCAACAACTTACAAATCTGATTAGCACCTGGCAATACTAAACACCGAAGTGCTAACACTAGAATGACGTCACGCTCGCGGTGAAACAACTGACGTCAGTCGATCGCCATAGTTTGCACGCGCGTGACGCCACTGTAGCGTCATCGGTCGTCATGGTGTCAAGTCCTTAAGTTACGACGTGATATCACTTGGTACGCTTTTAACAGTTACGAAGCAGACTTTCTGTTGCGTCTCATATGAACCGTCGTTCCTCGACTACCTCGCAGTTAACATTAGATTCACGGAACCCAAATATCGTATTACTAATTTTTTAATTTACGATTATTCATATCGTAAAGATACATGTATGAGTTATTTATTCAATTTATATGTTACTTACGGCAAATGTTAAAGTAACGCTTGTTAAAAATCAGGATAAATGTCTTATCGTTACTTTTATAAGCTAATATAAAGCAGCTGTTTTTTGTGCTCCGTAAATCTAGCGATAATGAAATTAGCACATTAACTTAATGTGTTACGTTAAATTAACATTAAATTAATGAAATTAACTATGCACATGAAACGGCGGATTTTCCACAATTCGCATTCAACGAATTTATTGGTTCCGGTTTTCCCGATTTTTTTCAAAAAGACATTAATGTCCTTGCATTAATGCAGGCTATTACGATTAAGGAGAGATTCATCGAGTCCTTGAAACAAAAGTTTTACTTAAAAATCCAAAACCCGTCATTTCATTTGCTACAACCTGGAACGAATGCTTAAACATAATTTGCAATCTGGAGTCTAAGGATCGGCAATTCGAGTACCTGGAACGACGTGACGGCGAGTTGACTGAGCCCGTCGACGTAGGGCCCCAGGACATTGTGCTCCCTGACCTTCAGCGACTGTTTGTTCGGCTTCGGATCCAACAGATCGTGCACCTTCTCGTTGTAGATCTCCATGTAGGAGACCTCCACTTTGTAGGTGAGCTCCGAGCTCTGCTGTTTCGCGATCATGTCGAATAGGTTGTCGCAGAGCCGCGGTATGATGCCCTTGTGCTCGCCGCTTCCCATCATCGTGTACGATTTCCCAGACCCTGGAAAATTAATGCGATCCTCGTCAGCGGGAAAAATCAGATCCGCCAGGAAACAGCGGGAAAACAAGGAGAAACAACGACCAGCCCTATCGTGTTCGAGGGAGTTCATGGCGCCACGAAATTCGGGCTTTAACGAGCATGGCAGTTACGATAAGCTGCGCCCACCCCCCTCCCCCTCCAGTTTGGGCTAATTCGTATTTGCCACATTTATTTTCTTTTATGGTAATAACGCGGTCTCCGCTAATTATAATAACCTGGTTGCTCCCACCGGGGTAGAAATCACGGGGATAGCCTTTTTGGTCGTTCGCTGAAATTGCGCTGAACGCTCCGCTCCGCGATGACTATGTTTCGGGGGGGAGATCGTGCGGCAAATCGTGTCGTTGGGAAAGATGTATTAAGGAATATTTAAACGTGGCGCTTCTTCCTTGAAAATCTACTGCTGAAATTATTTTTCTTATTACGATCGGACGTTGTGTTACCTCATTCAGCAATCGATAGTCAGAGGTTTCTGTACTGTATGATGTATAATATTAAATTGATGTAATGTTATTAAGTCACACTCTGATATTCGATTTTTCTTGCATAATCAAAAAGAGTATCTTGACTTTTTACGTTATATTAAAAAATACAGTTCTTCTATTAGATATTCTCACACGCGATTTCATTCATTTTCCATTGTAAGATATATCGCTTGAAAACATAGCACTATATAATTGTAACATAATTTTTTTCCTTGAAATGGCAAAGCCAAAAATGAGCGAACTAAATCGTCCGTTTTCGAACGCGTCAGAATACTTTCGCGACCATTATCTTGCAAAAATTTGACAAAACTCCCAATTCGACCGATCTCCGCGGCTAGCACCGTCGCAAGCTGTTTTGCATCCCCGAGAACAACAAGGTTTTCCTCGAAAGAACTTCAATCCACTATTCCCAACGCGCATACTCGCGATACGAACCGGTTAATTGAGCATCAGCCCCATCGAGCGGTGTAACGAGGCAAAAGCTATCGGTGTTCGAACATTAAGACCGTGGATGGTTAACCCTCGATCGACTCCGCTATTTCTTCAACCCCCGTAACAAGCTTAGCGTTTCTTATCTATCTATTTCCGCGTAAGACATCGTCTCTCGGCCTAAGTCGCTTGAGAGGATGACGAAACGGGAGGTTAAATCCGATTCGCCGATGCCAAGCGAGCGACTAAGTGCACGGGCAAGATGCGAGAACCTTTAGAAGTGCATAATCTGACTATCTGTTCTTTTTTTCTTTTTTTTACCTCTCCGGTGAAACCGTTTCCCACCCCCGCTACGGCAAAGAGGCAACGCGACGACCGAGCGCCGCGACGGTTGGGTCAATGTCTCGTGTAAGATCAACCGTGGATCGTTCATCGACGCTGACCTCTTCTAATTGCGTTATTTGCGGCGTTAAACCGCCACCGCGAAACGACCATCTCACTCTTATCGGGACAAATAAATGTCGCCGCGAACGGATGGGGAACGCCAGATAGGCTTTTGTGAACGACGACACTTCCAATTGTTTCGCTCCTGCTTTCAGATAAAGCGCGAACGATGTACTGGGTGACTTGCGAATGACGATGTCAGTCGTAGCTTATTTCAACTCTTGGACTTTATAATGGATTTTCTTCTCTGCCTCGACGATTAGAATTTATCATTCTTAACCTTTAGTGTACCGAAAGCTCTGCTGCGGAGCCCAATGTTTTTAGCATGATTATACTGAAGATGCNATAAAATAAAATAAAATAAAATAAAATAAAATAAAATAAAATAAAATAAAATAAAATAAAATAAAATAAAATAAAATAAAATAAAATAAAATAAAATAAAATAAAATAAAATAAAATAAAATAAAATAAAATAAAATAAAATAAAATAAAATAAAATAAAATAAAATAAAATAAAATAAAATAAAATAAAATAAAATAAAATAAAATAAAATAAAATAAAATAAAATAAAATAAAATAAAATAAAATAAAATAAAATAAAATAAAATAAAATAAAATAAAATAAAATAAAATAAAATAAAATAAAATAAAATAAAATAAAATAAAATAAAATAAAATAAAATAAAATAAAATAAAATAAAATAAAATAAAATAAAATAAAATAAAATAAAATAAAATAAAATAAAATAAAATAAAATAAAATAAAATAAAATAAAATAAAATAAAATAAAATAAAATAAAATAAAATAAAATAAAATAAAATAAAATAAAATAAAATAAAATAAAATAAAATAAAATAAAATAAAATAAAATAAAATAAAATAAAATAAAATAAAATAAAATAAAATAAAATAAAATAAAATAAAATAAAATAAAATAAAATAAAATAAAATAAAATAAAATAAAATAAAATAAAATAAAATAAAATAAAATAAAATAAAATAAAATAAAATAAAATAAAATAAAATAAAATAAAATAAAATAAAATAAAATAAAATAAAATAAAATAAAATAAAATAAAATAAAATAAAATAAAATAAAATAAAATAAAATAAAATAAAATAAAATAAAATAAAATAAAATAAAATAAAATAAAATAAAATAAAATAAAATAAAATAAAATAAAATAAAATAAAATAAAATAAAATAAAATAAAATAAAATAAAATAAAATAAAATAAAATAAAATAAAATAAAATAAAATAAAATAAAATAAAATAAAATAAAATAAAATAAAATAAAATAAAATAAAATAAAATAAAATAAAATAAAATAAAATAAAATAAAATAAAATAAAATAAAATAAAATAAAATAAAATAAAATAAAATAAAATAAAATAAAATAAAATAAAAGATTGAACTTTGGAAAAATTATTCTTTGAGATCCAATAATTATAACGATAGTTCAAATTCTCCAATATGCAAGGTAGATGTACGATAGTATCGTTGAGAATCTAGAGCTCAGACTATAGACAATCATAGGAATAAATTCTGTACGAACACAGGCCTAGAGTCCAGAAGCTACAAGTGAACTCCCTTATGATTTCATTGCCTTGACAATTTACTATTTCATTTTATACATATAGCCGAGTATGCATCACGAATATATACTATGAATTCATGCTGTTTCGTTCTCGTGAGACACGTGCATTTTACGAATATGCAAAGCAGTCCATAAATAAGGAATCGGAAGAACTTCCGACAACGTATCTAGCGTCTGGAATCGAGACATTGATGTCGCTGAAAGATGCATGAACGTGGGTCTATGCTCTAGACTCTGGCGGTAGAGTCTAGACAGTATATCTAGCAGCGATATCCATGAATTTTCCATTCAGATATCAGTTAACTTTTCAATCTATGCGAGAAGCTTCCCTTTGCGAAACGTGAGATCGATTGTAATTAAATTTTATTTCATTTCAGTCATTTATTCGCGAGAAAAACCCTTGGAAAATAGAATAGAAATTATACGAAAGAAAATATGATCGCTTATAAAAAGATTAATTAATGCTAATACCAAATAATAATAATAATATAAATAGTTAATGCTGCAACGATAGTTGCATATTTATGCAAAAAAAATGTGTTCGACAATTGTATGGAACGAGAGCTAAATAATAATGTATTTTTTCATTCACAGTTTTAATCAATTGAAAATAATGTAACACTATTCCAAAATTCTTCCAATGTTTTAACTATTCTGTATTTCCTTTATCAGTTGTTGCAATAAACGAATAAAATCCGTTGTCGACTTATTATTAGATCATTGAACATGAAGTGCATAGATTTTATAGTAAAATTATAGACTAAAGAATGAATTTCATAGTGAACTATACTGCCATATTCCAAAACGGGTCTCGTCACAACACAGGAAAGACTACAAATTCTCCAATTTGTTTTTAATATAGAGAGAAGTTTCCGGCTTTGTCGTGAATATTACAATCGACATTTGTCCGCTTAATAGGCATCGATATAAATATCCGCGATATCCGAGAAACTTAGGTCGACGAAGCGTTTTCTATTATTTGTCTCGACCGTAAGCCGACATTGTTCTTTTCCCGGGCACAAAATTAACCCTTAACCTTTACGCTCGCGCAGCCCGGTGTCTCGGCCGGGGTCTCTAAATTGCTGCCCGCGGCATTATAATAAATTTTAGTTATCGCGGCCTACAGCGTTACTATTCTTCGCTCCTAATTGACGTCGTTACTTTCTCCACCCTTAACTCTTCTATCTCGCGACGCCAGTCCACCCTTCACCGACGCTGCCTCCCTTAAATTCGAAAAGAACGCTACACGCGACACTATAGCGTCGCTAATGTAATCACCGTTCGTTGGAAACAGACATTTAACGGACCACTTAAAAATCTTTAAAAACAAATTATCGAAATACTTTCGGTGTGAAAGCAAAAATGAAATGTCTTCGTTACTCTTTGAACGTGCTTATTTTAAACACTTCAAATGTTGCCTACAAACAAGTTAAACTTGCAACAGAGTTCTCGATTTGAGTAAAAATTATAAATTTTTATTACAAGTTCTAATTGGAATAAACGTTCAATATTAAATTAATTTATGGAAAATTCCTAACAGAGGTTTAATTTATAGCAGATTTCAATGTTAGTATAGGATATAATGGATTTTTAATGAAAATTGTAATTATAATATATTTTTAATATAAATTTGAGTCGTATAAGAATTTTTTCACAGAAATTTAAATTATAGTAGAATTCATTTTTAAATTTATATTATATTAATTTTCATTTAAAGGACGGATAAGAATCAGAAGGCTGCAATCTTTTTCGGTTTGCGTTGACAAGCTGGGACAACCTCGCGCGGAAAGGATATTAAAAAATTCCGTTCCGCGGTCGATAAAAGCGGCAGATAATCCCGCAGTAGCGAGGTAATGATAATCTGAACGCGGGACGTTGCTGGCCGGCTTAAAAACCGCACAATGCCGGCGACGAAGCGACAAATCCGTAATCCGAGACGACCCGATACAATGCAAATGAAATGAGACGGTGATCAAAGCACGTGGAACGGTTCAGCGCGAAAGGCGTTTAATCAGCCGCGAATTACGCCGGCGAAGAGTGCGGCTCTTATATCAGCATCCGGGACAAAAGTCATAACTTCTAAGCTAATCGAATTTCGACCAAAATGCCTTAATAATTCGTCAAAGAAAATACAAAGATGCATCGATCTGCATAAAAAGATTATACGATTTCATAAAAAAATATTATTTATAGTTTTCAAAAGATTTGAAGCAATGACTTTTTTGATTTCTATCCATTGATGGCCGCACTGTTGGGTGTGGCAACCGGGAAGTTCGCTGGACCAAGGTTAAATATCGAGTCTTGTGTCTCTGTTTCCCTAATTGATTCTTGGATCGCGAATATTTTATATTAAAGTCGATTCTCGGTCAGGTGAGATTTCTTCTGGATGATGATTATTAATTCAGAACTGCAAGGCTCACTGAACCGTGAAACATAATTACAGGAATTATTGAAATGTATAATTGGATTACTTAATAATAAGGAGAATCGCTGAGTTGGATAAATAATTAAGGAAGACTCGCGGCAGGTTGATTTTTGCAAATGTAATATTTTTTCAACGGTCATATACTTTTTTATTGATTTATTTCTAGCTTGAGAAACGCTATTATTTACACGCAATGCAATTGTGACATGATAAATCAACGCAAAATAAATCAGTGAAAAAGTATACGGTTGGTAAAAAAAAATGTTATACCTGCAAAAATCAAGTTACTATGGCGTTATGATGATTCCGTACAACTGTTAAATATATGCCTTTTGGTAAAGTAGCCAATTAAGGCAGTAATCTAAAATTAACCTCAGAAGCGAATTTCGGAAGACTGCGCTTCGTTTGAACTCGGGATTCGTCTATCAACCTAAAATCTTGTCTATTAGCGAAGTTAATGGTCGGTTTAATAGTCCGGGCCCTTAGCAGCGCATTTGCAAAGACTCCACAGCGTTTGAACTCGAAATTCGTCTATTAATCGTGGCAGTGAGTGGAGTTCATAATTAAGTTAATAGTCTAAGCTCGCGCGCCGTACAGGCGAGTTTCGAAGGGCTTCGCAGCATCAAAGCTCGAAACGCGTCTATTGCCGTGCAGAATCCCGACTACTAGCTACGTTAACAGTCGCGACCGATTTCAGGATAGAATTCCGCGATCCTTCGCATCGATTTGAACTCGCACGATGCACGAGACAACGTCCATCAAGAAACGTCGAAGCCTCGTTTAAGAAACTAGCGTTACACTTTGCAAGCGGTAGATTGACAAATGCGGTTGTATCATGCGAAAGTTTTCCCGCGCGATTTTTTTTTCCAACTTCTACGGTAACTATAGCCTGACCCAGTTGAGCTCGAGTCAACCGGTGCATACACATTCTCTCTACTTACTTTTTCATATGGAATTATTACTAGCAGGGTCGTCGCACCATTTGTCGTGCGCGACGGCCGTACGCGTGCAAAAATGAAGATTAACGATTATGCTTACCGGTTTGTCCGTATGCGAAAATGCAGGCGTTGTAGCCCTGGAACGCATTGTCCAAAATGTCGCGGCCCAGAGCGTCGAACACCACCTCCTGGCTCGCGAATTTCTCCGCGGTCGGGTCCAGAGAGTGGAAACAATGGTCGAACGCGAATGTTTTTGGCTTGCTTCTGCAACAGGTAAAACGTCGCGGCTCGATTAATACACCGTTGAAATTGCTGATCGTAAAAGGTGCGCGCTTCTGCGCCGGGTGGCCATTCGAATTGCCACCTGCAACGTCTAGCAAACTGCTGGCGATGCGAACAATGTTGCGATGGAAATATTCTTTGATAGCTGGATAACGTAGAGAACGCGAGAAGATCAATTGGGTAATTTAAACTTGAGGTTTTTACAAATCATTGATTGAATCGAAGATGGTATTCGAAAACATGCGATGCAATCCAGGAACTCAGTCCAAGAAACCCAGTTGATCTTCGTGTGTTATTTATGATCCAGAGGAACAAATTTTGACTTTTGTTTGCAAACATTGTTTTCGTTAGAAACTATTCACTTGGAAGTTCGAATAAAACGTCGCTAAACTACGTTAAACGGAACATTAAAAACTGTTCGATGAGATTTAAGAAGCACAGTTGATCTTGATATAAAATAACATTTAATTCGCAATATTTTTCAACAATGTTCCTATTAACTGCACTGTATACGATCGAATCAATTGTGTTTTGCAATAATCAATAAGATGAAAGAAGAAAGCCATACATGGACAGAGAATAATAGTGATTGGAATGGGAAAATCGAGGCGCTAAAAATAGCGCAGCACAATAGCAGCTGTCTTCGCGATTTTCCTGGCAATTTTCCACAATGCGTATTAATTGCGAACGGCACTGCTTCGCCGTGGTATCCGCGATCCCAAGAGCTCCACCTTGCGCGAAACAATTACATTATATGAATAATCGCGGATATTCCGTAACATCGATTTACGGGCACCTGGGGCTTCGATAATGAAAGAATCGCCGAGGCACCGGCGACGTGTAGGAGGGCTGCAAATCAACCCTTTCGCCGCTAAAAGCATTCTAGATATTAAATCCAGCCTGGCGTCTCTTGGGAGCGTGCGGGGGGGGGGGCAGGTTTATGAAATGTGTCGCTGAGAAATTAATGCCGGCCTCTGTTTGCACTGACAATGAAACGGAATTAATTCTGTCTTAGAAGTTCCACCGGAAAGACAGTCTTTGTAACTCGCGATAAGAATGAACAATGCCGGCTTAATAATCTTATAATTAACGGCTGTTAAGAATCCCGAAATTAAAAGCAGGATACGTTGTGGTTCGGAAACTACCTATTACAGCGTTTTCTTTCATTTTCTCTCTTAATGCTGACGACGTCCGTGGATCGTTAAGATCACGATCTTCTTTATTTTTCTCTGTTGCAAATCTAAACGCATCCAAATGCATCAATCTTTGCAATATATTTCGTTGTTTCCACGCGTGGTACGTGCAAAATGAAACTGTTAATTTCCACGAAATATTGTTACGGTACAAATATAAATATAAAATAATATGTAAGAAAATATAAACACGAAAAGTTGAGTTATGGATCTCATGAAATTGCCTCCATCACGAAAGATCCGTTATCAATCTTTATAAATTCATTCACGTTTCATCACTTAGAGTTTTGCGGACCGGAAGGCTCATAAATCGCGTACAAATTCATGAATCAAGACCGTGCAACCGGTTTTCTTATCCCAGTTTGAAGAAGATGAAGATTTATCAACGAACTCTGCAGCATCTTGCATATTTCATCATCTGATTGGCTGAGAGAATATTTCAGCAGAAATTCGTATAAGTCGTTTAATCTTCTTCGTGCCGACCAAAAGAGTCGTGTACATCTGACCGAAATATACCAAACCTGTTCGACAAAGTTTGATAAAGTTTCGGAAAGAAATTACAAAAATGTTGTAAAGCCTGATAACTGGAAAATTGAAAGAGGAAGAAGAAATAAGAAATTAAACTATTATATATGAGCCGTTTATTTTGAAAGTGGCATAAGTCACTTTGTTTTTAAGTCGATATATTTAAGGGTTTGCGTTTTAACACGTTTAAAAATATGGATGCTAACTTTCGAGAAGATTTACTTGTATTTGTTATCTCAGGATACTGATATATTTTTCTCAGTATAAATAATTTCGTATGAACATTAAAAAATCACCACTTTTCATTACGGNGATAAGAATGAACAATGCCGGCTTAATAATCTTATAATTAACGGCTGTTAAGAATCCCGAAATTAAAAGCAGGATACGTTGTGGTTCGGAAACTACCTATTACAGCGTTTTCTTTCATTTTCTCTCTTAATGCTGACGACGTCCGTGGATCGTTAAGATCACGATCTTCTTTATTTTTCTCTGTTGCAAATCTAAACGCATCCAAATGCATCAATCTTTGCAATATATTTCGTTGTTTCCACGCGTGGTACGTGCAAAATGAAACTGTTAATTTCCACGAAATATTGTTACGGTACAAATATAAATATAAAATAATATGTAAGAAAATATAAACACGAAAAGTTGAGTTATGGATCTCATGAAATTGCCTCCATCACGAAAGATCCGTTATCAATCTTTATAAATTCATTCACGTTTCATCACTTAGAGTTTTGCGGACCGGAAGGCTCATAAATCGCGTACAAATTCATGAATCAAGACCGTGCAACCGGTTTTCTTATCCCAGTTTGAAGAAGATGAAGATTTATCAACGAACTCTGCAGCATCTTGCATATTTCATCATCTGATTGGCTGAGAGAATATTTCAGCAGAAATTCGTATAAGTCGTTTAATCTTCTTCGTGCCGACCAAAAGAGTCGTGTACATCTGACCGAAATATACCAAACCTGTTCGACAAAGTTTGATAAAGTTTCGGAAAGAAATTACAAAAATGTTGTAAAGCCTGATAACTGGAAAATTGAAAGAGGAAGAAGAAATAAGAAATTAAACTATTATATATGAGCCGTTTATTTTGAAAGTGGCATAAGTCACTTTGTTTTTAAGTCGATATATTTAAGGGTTTGCGTTTTAACACGTTTAAAAATATGGATGCTAACTTTCGAGAAGATTTACTTGTATTTGTTATCTCAGGATACTGATATATTTTTCTCAGTATAAATAATTTCGTATGAACATTAAAAAATCACCACTTTTCATTACGGTAAAGTGACTTATGCCACTTTCAAAATAAACGGCTCATATGTATATAATAATAATATATATAATAATATAATATTAATATAATAATAATATAAAAATAATAATAATAATATAATAATAATAATATAAATAATAATAATAATAATAATAATATAATAATAATATAAAAATAATAATAATAATAATATAATAATAATATAAAAATAATAATAATAATATTATTATTATATATATATTAAAAGTATTGAGAAAACAACATTTTGTCAACTGTAGGAAAAAACGATATATCATCGTTGGCCACTAAAAGGCTGAAACCTTCGCGGATCAGCCTCTACATCGTGTTGTTTGATTTTTCGTAGCGAACTTCGGAACAGTCGATCTTCCGGGCCACGAAACTCATGTCGAGAGCGACATTATTTTCGCGAATTATCGAACGACGCTGGCCTCGCGATGGCGGAAACACGTATGCCAGCTCCCTCGGAATGAAAGTGATTTCCTCTTGTCCTGGATATCCGAGCCACCGACCCTGTCTCAAACGTCAAAAGATCCGAAGTCGTTGGATACGGTCGGGCGTTATACGCATCGGCCCCTGTTATTGATTTCCCGTCGCATTTTCTCCCCGAGTAATCAGTTTCCATCGGGTTTTCCGGGCCGGCGAGGAAAAAACGGAACTGGAACGTTTAGCTCGCGGTGACTCCGCGGAACAACGAGCCGTTGCGATTTCGTAACGCGATACCTGCTCGACGTGATGGACTATGGCAGTCTAACGTCTCCGAGCTGTCCAGACTATGCTTTTTATCTTTTGTATCGCTTTGGGTGCCACGTATTAAACCCATAAATTTAACTAATGAAACCGAAAGTAACGAATTGAAATTTACGGTAGATAATATTAGTTTAACTATTTCTATATTATTCTACAATATTCTACAGTATTCTACAATAGTACAGTAGTATAGTACAGTATTCTATTTCTATATTATTCTAAGTATTCTATAAATCTTAGTAATGTTCAGTTTCAGGCTTCGGTAGATGGAAAATAATAGAAAAATATGTTTTAAGTTCTCTCGAGCTTTCGCATCTTGTTGTTTACCTTAATTTTGTCAGGACGTAGAAAATTTGTAGACTAGCAAAGATTTTTAAGAATAATATTAGTCTCCCAATTACTAAATACTATTGTTTTGTTGCCAATATCATTATCCAACTGGCTTTGTTTTCGCATTTTCATAATCCATATGTGATTTTATTATTTCATTGTTCATTCATTTTTGCTCCTAACAGTTTCAATGGTTCGAAAATAACGTAACAGCATCGTTAAATTTCTCTCATGCATTTACTGTTTTTCATTCCATTCCCTTTTGTAATAAATTATGAAACCTGAACACAAATAGAAAAGTCTGACATTTCGTAGTATCTAACTCGAAAAATAATGAAATCGTCACCCCGAGGAACACAAAAAAGTGGGTGACGGAATAATTTTCTCAGGTTTAAAAATTAATTGCTACGCCAATCTATGATGTCTTCCTAACTTCTCAATGTTAATTGGATCAAGTGGAATGCTTCAACTTCGTGATATTGAGGTTGTGGCGTGTCAGTGGAAGTATTAAAGAAAATGTAGAAATGGCCAGTCAGATATGTCGGACTATATACAGTAATGTCTCTCTAATTGACGCCCAGATTGTCCACAAAACTAGACAATTTGGGAAGAGCAGATACGATTATTCGAGCCTTTTGGCTCGTTTTTATAATTGTTGACAATTTATAACTAATATATTTATAACTAATCGTATCTCCTCTTCCCAAATTGTCCATTTTAGTGGACAATCTGAGCGTCGGTAAGGGAGACATTACTGTACATAGAAATATAAAATAACAATAACAGAAATAACGACTCCTCGCAGAATAATAATTGACATTTTCCTGGAAAGTCCGATGCAGAAGACTGTAGAACGTAGGCGCGACAGCATGTCGGGATAA